TGGACCCTTAGAAGTGGCTATACAGCTGGAGACCTGTCAATCACCAGCAGTGTAGGTTAGCTCCACTCTAGGCCCCAGCCTTTTTCCTGGACAAGGCCCAACCTTCATCCGAGGACTGGCTGAAACTACACCATGGAGGGGATGGTCTGGAAAAACCCCAGCCTGTCCCTCCCACATCCACAGTCTAGCATTCACCGCTGTCTCAAGTAGCCCAAGAAAGCTGGTTGACACAGCCACAGTCTCCACCAATGAACTTTGCTTGGGCATTTGCCCTTTGCCTCTGATGTGCAATGCAATAAAATACCAACAGCAAACCCCACATTTCTCTGTATCCACATGTATTTGGAACATTACTGAAGCCACTGACCACCTGATTGGATGGTGGCCCCTCCTTCAAACTCTTACTGAGAATTTTCTTTCGACAGTCAAGTGAGCCTGGACACCAAATGGCTGGGATTCAAATCCTGACTCTCCAACTTACTGGCTGCAGGGAGTAAACTTCAGTTTCTATGCCTCAGCTGGCCTCTCCTACAAAATGGAGGTAATACTTGGCCCACTAAATTTGGGGGGATGAGAGTCATAGGAATACTATCTTTAGAGGACCAAGCTTGGCAAAAAGTCAGCGCTCAGTAAATATTGCTACAATTATTTTATAATGAAGCACTAGAAAGCCTGTTATGTTCCATTATGAACTGGGATGCTTTTGCCTGATGACACATTATGATCATTTAGAGCAGGTTCTGAAACTCTCTGCCCCTCCCAACATGGGGTCCTCCATGCTGACTGGCCTTCTACAGTATGGGGAACCTTTGGAGTCTAGGGCCGCAGGGGGGTTGTCAGAAATATTTGTAGTTTGCAAAAGACTGTTCAAGATTCCGAGGTGTGCTTCCAGGGTTCACACTGCTCCCTCTCAAAGGCTCCATGTCAGTGATCACCAAGAGGCACAGAAAGGACCCCTCTGAGTGTGCAGAGTCCTGTGATCTGCAAAGCTGGGTTTTTTCCTTCCCCAGCAGATCTGTCCCAAAGCCTATTGTCCCAGAGCAGACAGGTGCACTGGCTCTTCCCTGACACTTCCTGCATTTTTTTTTTTCTTTAAAGAAACATTTGCTCTTATGAAAGTTTTCCAGGCTCTCGTATGGGACAAAGTAGGTCATAAAATAAATAATATGTCACACATGCTTTTTTTGTTTAGAACTCAGTATGGCTTCAGGTACTTATGATAAAGCTGAGCCTCCTTATCAACAGGAACAAATTCATTATAGGAGGTGCAACAGACAGGCTGGCAGCAGAAAGGGGGCAGATAAGGAATTCAGTCAGCACTGAGCTGGGAGGAAAAAGAGAAAGCACTGACTATGGTAATATTTCAACCAGGCCTTCCAGCCCTGTTATCAATTCCTTCTCCATTCCAGGAATCACACTCCCTGTCCACTCTTATCAATTTCACACCTGGCTTTAGAGTCATCACTGCCCCAGCCCTTCTGGGGGTAGAAAGACGCAGCTGCCTGCCATTCACCCCTCCTCCTTCAGTCTTTGCTGATAGCCCTTGTAAAACACCTGGTAGCAGAGCAAATTATTCACAGCCCACCTCCCTGGTTCTGAGTGCTTCCATTCCTTGCCATAAAATTTATCTTTAAAGGCCAGCGTGTTAGCAGCAACCCAAGGACTTGTGCAAAATGCCACTGGCTGGAAAGTGACTTTACCCTACCAGACTGTATGAGACGGATGCTGAGTGCTTCATCTAGTTTTTTTTTTTTTTAATTGATGTCACATTGGTTTTCAACACTGTATATGATTTAGGGGTAAAAGTCCACACCTCCTCAAATGTTAGACAACCCATGGCAACTCAGCCATTTCCGGTGAAGGAGCCACGGGCTTGAAGCAGTGTGATGGTTCCCACTTAACTACAAAAGGAGCCTCTTTGCTCTTTTATTCACAGCCACAGATCTGGTCTGGGATTCAGACAAAATATAAAAGGATTTGGTGGGGCCTCCCCGGTGGCGCAGCGGTTGAGCGCTGGGTTGCGAAGCTGCCCGCAGCCTCTGCGGCGCCGGTTCGATTCCCGGCTGCTCCCCGGCCACCAGAGGAGGGTCCCGCATGGCGCGCAGACCTCTCCTGCCGCCCGCTGCTCCCCTCAGCAGTGTACTTCGGTCCTTCTGCCTGCTCTGCTCCCTGCTCTGGCTCTGGTGAATTCTCTCACCCTCCCGCGCTTCTGACTGTACCCAGTGCATGTATAAACGAAACAAACGAACAAATAAATAAATAAATAAAAAACATGCCTCTATAAAAAAAAAAAATAAATAAAAGGATTTGGAAGGCTCTCTTTCATCTCCACTGTATAGGGAGGGAAGGGAAATGTGGGAAGGAGGTTGGAGAGGACAAGATACAGTCTATGATGGGGAGTTTCCAGGCCAGCAACATAATTTGCAAATGAAAATGAAATATGCAAAATGAAAATGCAGGGCCTCTTGCCCAAAAAAACTGGGGAAAAATGTACATACCTTAATTAAAAAATACTTCATTGCTGTAAAAAGTGTTAAAACATACAGCATTTTCCTTTCTTCTGTCAGCCTTTGGGTCTCTTCTTGCAAACTCCTACTAATGTTAATATCTTGACCTCTTCCCATAAATCATAAATATTTCTAATGGCATCTAGAATCCTTTCCAGAAGGTTTTCAATTTGACCTTGCCCAGATCCATGAGAGGAATCACTCTCTGTGGCAGAGATAGCCTTATGGCATATGTCTCTTCTCAATGCCTGGATCTATGGGCTGCAGAATGGATGCTGCATTAGCAGTTATGAAAACAATATAAATCTCCTTATATGTCACTATCAGACCTTTGGGTGACCAGGTGCATTTCCAGTATTTTTAGAAGAATCTTAAAATATTAATATTTAAAATATTCAGTAAACAATGTTGTCAACAGATATGCTGTCCTTTGAACTTTGCTTGTTCTTCTATTTATAGATCACATGCAGGGTAGATTTAGCATGATTCTTAATGGCCACAGGAATTTCAGAGTGTTGAATGAGCACCGGTTTCAACTTAAAGCCATCAGCTGCATTATCAAGAGACTCAGTCTCTCTTGTGAGGCTTTGAAGGCAGGTACTGACTTCCCTCTAGCTATGGAAGTCCTAGATGGCATCTTCCAATAGAAAACTGTTTCATCTATATCGAAATTTTGTTGTTTAGTGTAGCCATATTCATCAGTTGTCTTAGCTAGATCTCCTGGATAACTTGCTGGAGCCTTGATATCAACACTTGTTTCCTTACCTTGTATTTTAATGTTATACCGAGGACTTCGTTCCTTAAACCTAATGAATTAACCTCTGCTAGCTTCTAGCTTTCATTTGGCACCTTCCTTACCTTTTACACTTCCATAGAGTTGGAAAGAATTAGGACCCTTCTCTAGGGTAAGCTTTGAATTAAGGGAAGGTTATGGCTGGTTTGACCTTTTATGCACTAAAACTTTCTCCTTGTTACCAATAACACTCTTTCATGTCTTATCATTCATATGTTCACTGAAGCAGCACTTTTAACTTCAAGAACTCTTCCTTGGAATTTACAACTTGGCAAACTGTCTGGTGCAAGAGGCCCAGCTTTCCCATTCTGGCATGGGACATGTCTTCCTTACTAAGCATAATCATTTCTAGCTTTTGACTTAAATTGAAAGAAATAGGCCTCTCCCTTTCCCCGGAACACTTAAGAGACCACTGAAACAGGGTTAATTGGCCCAACTTCAGCATCTCAGAATATAGGAGGCTGGAGGAGCAGGAGGGATGTGGGGAAACATTTAGTTGTTGGTAAAACAGTAAGAACACACACATTTATCAAGTTCACTGTGTTATGAGGGTGTGGTATGCGGTGCCCCCAAAACAATCACTACAGCAACGTCAAAGATCACAGGTCACCAAACAGGTAGGTTTCCATTCCAGCTTTGTTTGTTACTCCATTTATAGAGAGTCGATTCCTGAAAAAAGTTGAAATACTACAAGAACGACCAAAACTTGACATAAAGGGAGCCTATGGAGTTGGGAAAATGGCACTGATAGATTTGCTTGATGCAGAACTGCCACAAATCTTCAATTTTCAAAAAGCACAATATCGATGAAATGCAATAAAGCTAAGACAATAAATACAACACGCTATGCCGTACTATGCTGCTTTCTGAGAAGTCATGGGGTATGCCCCACCCCCAGTCTCAGCTCCTCTGGAGGTGAAGGGCAGTAGCAGTATCACCAGTGGGGGCAAGAACAGAGGCCTGAGCAGGCCTGGTTTACCAAGAACTGTGTAGGGAGGTAGTGAAGTGACAAGACTATGCATAAGCCAAGGCTCCAGCCCCCTGGGGTATGCTCCACTGTCCCATTGGCCTTCATCGACAAACCACAAAGTCTAAGACAGAATTATGAAGCATTTCAAAACAGCAACCATGCAGCATTAATCCCAAAGAAGGGGGCCCTGGTTCTCAGTGCAGGGCTGTGTATACATGCTGGCAGCATGCCCATAACGCTCACCCTGTTGCTACCCCAGCAGAAGTCAGAAGCCAAAGTTCTTGCTCACTTTCCATCACCAAAAACTCTTTTTATACAGGGATGGTTTCACCCAGCATGGGTGTGAGGGTGCCCAGGAGGAGGTGAGTAGGAAGGGCCTTCTACTGTCTTTTCAGTGGCTCTTTCCATTGTTTTACACGGCAGTGCCTGATCTAGCTATAAAAGCTCCTCAAGTCCACCCATTGGAACAATAATTCTGACTTAGTACCTTGTGTAAAGAACTGATGTAGTGAGATACAAGCAGAGCCTTGATGATTACAGAAGTCCTTTCACAACTAACATGGCCTGGGGACTGACTTTGTTGGGGAGATTAGGAAGGCAAGAAGATCGAGGGATAATTACTTATTATGTAACTTTGAGTTGATGGTTTATAAAAACTGGGCTATTGTCCAAAGTCATTACTTTGAGGCATGATTATAACCTGGTAGCTGAAAGCACATTTCTTACAAACCTTGGCTTCTGGGTCACTGTTGATGCTACCAGAATCATCATCATCAGCATGTGGGGCATTTCTAGAAAGAAAAACAGAAAACTGAGCTTAGAATTTTATTGCAAATCCAGCTACATAAAGCCACCAGTTAGAGCAAATCCTTCCAGTGTCCTACCTGAGTTTCAAAGATGCGTAACGCAGGGTTGCTCCCTCAAACTCTTTTAAACTGGGGTCTGGGTTAACTGTGGCTGCATGCAAATCCTAGGGGAAAACAGAGCTCCGTTAATGGAGAAAGGGCCCATAATACGATTCCAAATACCAAAGGGCAGAGAAGTCCTCCCGTATGGACAGAGAGTACACGTGAGCTTAGGCAGGGGAAGGCATGCAAGGGCTGCTGGATGCAGATCTGTGCTAGCGCCCAGTCTTACAAGACAATGGGGAGTCTAGGGCAATCAGCCTGAAGTCAGTCATAATGAGAGACTCCAAAAAAGGCAACATGTGTGTGAACCAGTGATGCCTAGCAAGAAGCCCCATTACAACGTCCCTGCAGAATGCATGATAGTCACAAAGAAGGAAAAACAATACAGCCACAGCCATGCAAAAAGGACAAAATATTAAGTGATCTGAAATCTAACAGGATACTTGCCTTCCAAATGTCACTATTAATCTTTCCCCCATTCAGAACAGCAAAATCACTCCATGGCTGTTTCTAGACATATAATTATTCACATAGGAAAAAGCACATTGATTGAAAAAAAAATAGAAAGGAAAGGAAAAAAAAAAACACAAGACATGGTTGTTAGCATTAATATTCACAGGATGGGTTAGGGAACAAATTCACTCTAACAGCAACTTGTTAACACATTCTCTCTAGATCTAGATTGCCACTTGAAGACAGGGGCAGGAGGAACATGATGGAGCGATAATTATTTATCAAAACAAGTGACTACTGAACATTATTAGCCCACAATGAAGTTTTTTTTCTAAACATGTCTTAAAGCAAACTGTGCTTTGAAATATGACATGAATATCTAATTCCATAGTGACCTTTTTCTCTTCTATTAACCAAGCAGATCTGTTTTCTTGAGGTAGGGGAGAATTAAGGATAATAATTGTAATGTGTTGAATTTGAAAGCTGGGAATGTCCACGGCTAAAGGTATAAATATATGTATCTTTTATACACACATATATACACACACACACATAAAGCTGGGGGTCAAATTATTTTCACTTACTAGACAAACAAAAAAAAGAACAATGCAGGGGAAGACGTTAGCAAGGACATCAACATCTTGCTGAGACTTAATAGCTCTAAACAATCTAATGTGACTTCTCCTAATTCATTAAAAGCTCCATTTCCTTGCCACATTAACCTCTTCACAACTTAATATTTGATCACAAAAATCATCTTTTAACCATATCTGTGGACAAAGCATAAAACCCTGCTTTGTTGGTAGAACTCTTGCCATAGACCTTTGCATCTAAATCCTCTTTTCTTTCATCTCAGATAATAAGGAAATGTGTTTTTCTGTCTACCATATTGAGTGAACATTAAAATATTTTTCATCCAAGATTTGGAGAAACAAATGAAGATAATAAAACCCAGGGGCATCCTTGTGAATTTTTTCCACAGACTTGATAAGTAAATCTACTTTCTTAGATAATGATTCAATAATGGAAACTTCAATGAAGTAACTTTACAACTTAAGTTATTGGAAAATGAGAAGGGATACTGACCCAGGACTTTTGTTCACAATATTAATACAATTTTAAAAGCCACTCAAAGTAGAACACTGTTTAAAGGTCCTATGTGTTGAAAAACATGCTTAGATGACTCTAGGGGCCTAGGAGAGCTGAGCCAAATCACTGCAAATTTGGATCCAGCATCACAACTGCACAGGTGGTGTTGTTGCACCCCGCTTTTTTTTTGTGGGACCCTTGCCTGCGGCCAGGGAACAAACCAGCGCTGCAGAGGCTTCGGGCAGCCTCGCAGCCCAGCGCTCAACCGCTGCGCCACCAGGGGAGGCCCTCTTTTTTTTTTTTTCCAAAGAATTACTGCATGTTATATTTGTTCAGCAATTTTTTTTTTAGTTTTATTTATTTATACATACAAGAACTGGGGTACAGGTCAGAGGTGTGGGGGGTGAGAGGATTCACCAGAGACAGAGCAGGGAACAGAACAGGCGCTTTGTCTGAAATACACTGCTGAGAGAGCAGTGGGCAAGACAAGAGAGGTCTGCTGCTGCACCATGTGGGTTGCTCCCTGGCCGGGGATCTACCTCATGCTGCAGAGGCTGCGGATAGCTTCATAGGTTGCGTCTTAACCCCTTGCACCACCAGGGAGGCAGTTTGCTTTTTTGACACAAGCAACTGAACTGCAGTTTTTCAAAATAAGTAAGAACTTAGAACACTTAATTATTATTATTATTTTTTAAATAATCTCTCTCACTGAGTATGATATATTAATGTTTTATTGAGTAAAAAAAGCAGGAATGGGCCTCCCGGGTGGCGCAGCGGTTGAGCGCTGGGTTGCGAAGCTGCCCGCAGCCTCTGCAGCGCTGGTTCAATCCCCAGCTGCTCCCCGGCCACCGGAGGAGGGTCCCGCATGGCGCGCAGACCTCTCCTGCCGCCCGCTGCTCCCCTCAGCAGTGTACTTCGGTCCTTCTGCCTGCTCTGCTCCCCGCTCTGGCTCTGGTGAATTCTCTCACCCTCCCGCGCTTCTGACTGTACCCAGTGTTTGTATAAATAAATAAATAAATAAATAAATAAATAAATAAATAAATAAATAAATCTTTAAAAAAAAAAAAAAAAAAAAAAAGCAGGAATGCTGCCAATGTCGCAGCCCTCTCCTTACTCAGCCCCCGAAAGCAGTGAGTAGCTTCCACTGAGGAAAAGAGTAAAAACACAGGACAGTCTCATCCCTCAGCTGAGGGTACCTATGAACCCCTGAAATGTGTAAGGTTTGTGCATGTGTTTTCCTGGGGAGAAAAATATCCAACATTTGTCACATTTTCAAAGAGGCCAGTGACCCAGCAAGGTGCAGAAAGACCATTGTAAGGGTGTTGATAAATACGCATGATAAGGACCTGAAATATCAAATACAAAATAAAATGGCATGCTAGAATTTCTTTTCAAAACAAAACAAAAACCCAAGTCTATTTGGTCCCAAATCATCATCATTGTTTACATGTGAGTGATATTTGTTTTTCATTTGAAGAAGGATATCAGATGGTGAATTAGGAAGACTCAAGATAATTGTCTCTTGAGAAAATTAAAAAGAAAAGGGTGGATGTCTGACAAAAAGAATCTGAAATCATAAATTTTCCTCAAGAAGCACTGTGTTGGGGCTGGAGAGGGTAGAAGGAGAGTATTTTTAAATCAAGGATTCAGAAAAGCCATTAGCATTTCATTAAGATGGTTTCCTGCAAGCACGTGGTTTAAATTTTTAAAATCTATTTATTCTTTAGGTGTAGGGTCCCCTGTAAAGTAAAAGTTAATTAGAGTTGTAAGACTATAGGAATCTAGCTCTCATGCTTGGAAACACAAGTCAGCTGGCAAACCTCCAACAATCGCTTTTTACAGATTTAAATAAACAAAGGCCCTACAGAGTAATTTGGAAAAACTTAAAAATAACATGGGTTCTCCCAAAGAAACCCTTTAGCATATAACTCAAGCAAGAAAAAATGTTACATTCTATGTTATGACAAGGCCAAAGTCCTTTTCCCCTCCTATATTTGAAAATATTTACTTATATCAAACATGAGAAACTTTCTCTCCTTTACCAGTGACTATAACTTTTCTTTTTTTAAATTAAGGGCAATGAAGAACAAAAACAATTTGTCTCCCATATTAAGAACTACATTCTATTCATCACATTTTTTAAATTTTTTCTATCATTTCAAACAAGAATTTATTGAAATTATGTTGATCTTCAATAGACTGTTAAGTCCTATGTAGAAAAATTGTGAAATTTTTTTCTCCTGTTGAATTTCTTTTGGTGTTCTTTTTTTATTTTATTTATTTGTTACATCATTTTTCATTTTTGCACAATGTATGCATTTTCATCTTAGTTATAGTCCCCAAACAATTCCCACCTCCCCATTTTTTTTAATTTTTACTTTATTATAATTAGTCTTTTTCCTGGTCCCTTATTTAGGTTTTCTAAATTCCCACTATGAGTGAGACCATCTGGTATTTTTCTTTTTCTTTCTGACTTATTTAGCTGAGCATGATCCCTTCCAGCTCCATCCATGTTGCTGCAATTTGCAATGAGTTTATCTTTTTTGATTGCTGAGTAATATTCCATTATCATCACATTTTTTAAATGAAGAAGACAAAGTACAACATTTTAGGAAATCAATGTTTCTAAGGCAACCCAATGGATTCTTGGGTTCTCCAAGAAGCCTGCAGTCCCCCAGTCTGTAGGAAGGATGGTGGGGGTGACAGCTGAAAGAACTGAGGGAGAAAGACAGTAAGAGAGGAAAAAGCTGATGGAGTGATAAGCCTCAAGAAAGGCACAACACAAAGACAGGAAAGTAAGAAGAGACCATCGTCCATGAGAGAGACCTCCCAGGTGACAACCTTCGGGCATGCAGCTACAGTCTTGAGGGCTGGCCTGGTGGCAGAGTGGAGCTGAGCACGTACTCTCCTAGAATTGGTCTTGACCTGGCCCAGGCGCAGCACCCATAACCCTGATTAGAGAGTTCGCGCTGGTTCTAGAAGAGCCATGAAGGTCTCAGCTCCTCAGAGATAGCACATCGGTGGGACTGACCCAGCGCCATCATGACCCTTTCCATGTGCGAAGTTCTGACCAGGAGCAGGGGCTGTGTGAGGGTGGACCTGCTAAGGCATTCACCTGTATAACCCTGATTCCTGAGAGCTTTCTTTTTAACTGAAATTAACACAGCCTGTGGTAAAGCCTGGTCCAAGTCCTGCCTCTGTTCTCTTGTGCTCGGTGTCCCCCTCCTGATGGGGCTCCGAAGACGTCCCATTGGAGGCCAAGAGTGTTTTAGCCCTTTACCCAGGAACTGGCAGCTTCCTTACCCTCTACGTTCTCCATGGGGACAACAATAGGCCATTAGTGAGGATAAGAAGTTTGGGGTCCTATGGGGTAAAAAGTGTTTTGAGTTATGCTTCTTAATACCCTTCCATTAAGACTTGAGTCTCGGGCCTCCCTGGTGGAGCAAGGGGTGAAGCACCACACTAAGAAGCAATCGGCAGCCTCTGCAGCACGAGTTCGATCCTCGGCTGGCCAGGGAGCAACCCATATGGCACAGCAGACCTTTCCTATCTCGCCCACTGCTCCCCTTAGTAGTGTATTTCAGTCAGTCTGCCTGTTCTGTTCCTCCCTCTGTCTCTGGTGAAACCTCTCACCCTTCCGCATCTCTGGCCTGTACCCCAGCTCTTGTATGCATAAATAAATTAAAAAATTAAAAAAAAAAGACTTGAGTCTCAAGATATGTGGCCTTGATGATAAAGGGCAGAGCATCTAGAAGTCTAGAATATATATCAAGGAATAGACTTAACAATGTTTTAATGAGCATTGTATCTATAAATGTGTGTATATATATTTTTCCTTCTTTTAAAAACTCTTTCTTGATTTTATTGGATGCAACAATATCAGAAGAATGCAATTATGGTTTATCATGTGAACACAATCCAGAGAAATGAAAAAAAAAAAAAAACCTAGTAAACAGAAGAACAAATGTTTGTGCAGTTAAATCAGTCTATGTGAGTAGCAGATCAATGTAGAAACTAAAAGGGGGGAGTCAGGATACCCGCAGATCTATCAATAGTGCTGGCTTTGCCATCACAGCAAGTCCAACTAAGGGCTCAGGTAGGAAGGTAGTTTATTCCTTCACACAGTGAACATTCTCTGACCTTCGCCACATACCAGTCACTGTGCCAGGTGCTGGAGACATAAGTGGAGGATGACAGGTCCCCACCCACTGAGGAGGGAGACTGACATGCCCTAAGTACTACCCCTACAAGAGACACGGTAGAATGAAAGGCTTTCAAAGTGGAGGAATCAGAACAACAATTCCCAGGACATGTGAGAGTGAGGGCCAGGGATTTAACAGTGAGTGACAACTGGAATGAAAACAGAGATATTTCCTAGAGAACTGGCTCTCTGATACAGCGCCTAGAATTACCTGGAGCTTACGATTAAAGCAGATTCCCAGACCTCACCCCTGCAGATTCTAGCTCAGTGCCCTGGGGAAGGACCGAGGGATTAGCATGCTCTCCAAGCCCAGAGATCACGCTGGCCAGTGATCCAGTGCCCAGGCTGAGAAATTGTGCCCGATGTCCCCTAGGCACTTCTTCAAGGCTCTTTCCAGCCCTGAAATGTCATGACGGTTTGATCTGGTCAAGAAGTTCAGTAAAATGATGAGAGAGTGGGCCCTTCATGCTGCCATCTTATTTCTAAGTGAATATGAAAGTCCACCGTTTCTAACATAATAGATGGATTTTTGCTCCTTCTAGGGCGTCAGTGTTCAGGGTTCCTGCAGACGGCATGAGCAGTGCAGCAAGAACAGTGAATTATGATCGAGAAGAATGACGGTCCTAAGAAATGATTCCACCTTGCCTTGCTTTCAGACCCACTTTCTCCTCTTGACTCACTTCATAAGCAATCAGGAGACACCTTCAGTTAGGAAGATGATATATAAGACATGTCTATGGGCCAACAGCTATTCATAAAAATATTTGTATGGCTCCCTCCTCTCTCTAAAATTTGACACCCAAGTAATTTGGATGTGTTTCAGTGGATTGGGGGGAGATCATCATGGGCCAAATTCCAGCAGCAAATGCTTCCCAGCCAGTTTATAAACTTTCAAAAATACTGCTGGCATGCGCAGAGGAAATATTATCCGCTGAGCTTAGCACTTCTCCAGTGAACTTTGGAATGTGAAAAATAAATTTTTCAAACTGTAAGGAAGGCTTCTGTCCTCCACTTTAGTGAGGCTTAGTCGACAGATTTGGCACTTATTTATTTGATTTTTTTTAAGCCATCTCAGGAAAAAGCTGAATAAAATATGCATTTCCAACATGACATATTACAAGTTTCTTCTCGCCTTTAACATTTTGCTTTCTCTCATGTTTCTAAAGTAGTTGAAATAGATGCTATTTAGGGATCAAAGAAATGGTGTCAGAGAAATAATCATTTCTCTTCAACTGTCATTAACCCCTGAGACAACGTCATTTTCAGGAAAGCTTGGTCTATGACACAGTTCTCCCTTGGGGTGAGATGAAGATTTGAGGTTTCCAGATACCCCTGATACACAGTGCTCTGAAGCCTAGTGTGGCATTGGTGTTGGCACCCACCAACCCCTCCCCAGGTTGGAAGCCCTGGCCGAGCTTGACTCCACCATGCATTAGGTGTGTGAGCCCGAGCAAGATCCTTCACTTCCCTCTGTTTCCATATTGTCAAATGTAAAAAGAAAATGATCACCATAGTAACAGATAAAGAGAGTTTTCTGAGGAGCAGCGAGATAAGGCATGAGCCTGGCACTGAGTTCACTCAATTGCCCTCATGCCTCAGCTTTAATATCTGTGCTGGCATCTACGTGTCCCGGTTAAGAGGCGACTGGGTCTTCCCCGGACTCTTCCCCTTCTTTTCTCTCTAACTGCTCACCCCTTTGGCTCTATGATTTTAATTTTTTGCCTTTTCAACTTGCTTAGTTCTTTGTCTTAATAGATGGCCTCATGTTCAGGAGGAAAATGTCTATTAAGTGAAGAACTGAAAGGTTGATCTGAAGGACATCTATCTCAACTGGTTCATTAAAATGCTGGCAATGAGGCATTCGCTCTCTGAAATTTCAAGGAAATACACACCTGTTAACAAAATTCCCTGGAGGGATAGGACTTAGTGAACACAATGGTGTAGCTAGCAGGAGAGGAGAGCAATAGAGCCAACAGCAAGGTAGAAATTCACACAGTCTGGGACTGAGCACAGGAACTGGCTCCAGAGAGTCAGCGAACTGGTTGCCACCCCAGCTAACATCAATTGAGTGGTTTTTTAACTCACTGAGTCCCCATTACCCCTCCTCTTAAATGGGAAGATCATGGCATCTTGCCTGCTACAGGAGTGTCTTGAAGGGAACCGATGAAATTCACTGAAAGTCATGATAAATCATGAATGGCAAGGGGAGGCTGATTGCTAGGGATGCAGGCAAGGAACAATGGACCCCAAGAAGAGAGGAGAGTGGGTCATGAGACACAGTCAGAGCCTGGAAGGGGCCCTGAGGAGTGGCTGGGATGGGGTGCAAAGCAGCCAGGAACAGAGGGGACCACGAGACAAAAAGCAGGCATCAGGAGGAGGCCCAGGGATGAGAAGTGGACTCTGCTAAGCTGACAATTTCCCCCAGGACCAGCTGTTTCCGTAGCTGCATTCTTCCCCAGACATTTTGCAGACCCTCGAAATAAAGGTCAGCAATATCAATTAAAGAAACAAAAATCTGAGCTACATAAACCCTAGATGCTTTCCTTGGGCTTGACCACACCCACACATTAGCCTCAGAAGGCAGGCTGTAAAAAGGACTTCATTTTTCCTATACATAGAGCACAAGAGGTTCATTGAACAGGAATGGTATTTCAGTTACTCTAATCTCCTCACCTCTGGGACAATGAGAAAGAAGAGGTTGAAATCCTTTAGCCAGGGAAGGTGAATGAGAGGAACTTTGGCCTAGGAGGATTCAGGTACTCTAAGTTTTAGACCTAGCATTGCCCTGATAGCCTACCTCTCTGTGCCTCAGTTTCCCTGTCTGTAATGTATGGACACTGTATCAGACCACCCTGGCATTCTGTGGTGGCATCCCTGCTGGTGAAGATGGTGGAAGGGTTACAATAAAGGAACATGGAGCCCTGGAGTGGAAGATACTCCAATAGAGAAATCAAGAGGAAAGAGACACAGTCAAGGAAGAGAGAAGATCTGTGCAGAGTGAGAACAGAGGCTGCACCTTGCCAGCGTGGCTTCCAGGAGGACACTCCGCAGTACAAGGAGAAATGCCAGATGCACCTAGGCTGGGCTAGGAAGAGGATGCTGTTTCATGCTAAGTTCCCTAAGAACCAGGGCTATGGTGGTTCATTTTTATCCCCCTAGAATACCTAACACAAGCTGAATAAATGAATGAATGGAAATTTCCCAGGGGGTAGGATGTCTACTTTTAAAGATGGGAAGGGTGATAATAGTCACAAATATATTGAGAAGCTTTGCGGGTAAGAGATGTCCAAATGCCCTCCATGTCCTCAAAGTAAAAGAAAACGGGTTGTTTAAAGAGCAAAAGAGGGCCTCCCTGGTGGTGCAAGGGGTTAAGTCTCAGCACTATGAAGCTATGAGCAGACACTGTACCACAAGTTCGATCCCCAGCCAGGGAGCTAATCCACATGGCACAGCAGACCTCTCCTGTCTCGCCCGCTGCTCCCCTCAGTAGCATATTTCATTACATCTGCCTGTTCTGCACCCCACTCTGTCTCTAGTGAATCCCCTCACCTCCCACACCTCTGGCCCATACCCCAGTTCTTCTACATAAAAATAAATAAAATCTTTAAAAAAATAAAGAGCAAAATACTGTGGTCACACAAAGGTAGAGATGCCTAGTTGCGGGGAATCAAACTGCCGTTTTCAAAAATTCCCACTACTTAATGGTGATATCTTCTAACTGTAATTCTCTTGAATATTTCATTACCAGGATTCACAAAGGTTCACTGCAGGCATATTTATATTAATAAATACCACAGTGGAATTTTTTTAATGCCTCAATTCTTTGTTTAAACATCCAGATTTCTTCCTCAGGGATAGCAGGAATTTATGCTGCTAATTATTTCCAAAATAATGTCACTTGTGCTAAATAAACTCTCACTTTTAAAAAAAATAGAAATTAAGCATTTAAGGACTCTCAAGGGTTATTCTTGCAGAGATCCTCTCCACAGAATCAAATGAGCCCAAGGCTAATAAGACACGCAGTAATTATAACACGTCTGGCCAAGAGACATTCTTCTGTGTGTAAATATTTTATGGAGCCAGCACTGTGCAATGGCACCTACAGAGTAAAGTATTGCCTCAGTGAGCCCCAGGGAATCTTAACCACTTCTCATTAATCAGCCCCTCTTACTTTCGGTACCTGGAATTGTGTTTCAAGAGAGTAAAAATCATTAAAAAAATTCAAACATCCTTGAAAGAAGGTGTTAAAACTATTTGCTAAAAGGAAGCATTTACAGTAGTTTCAAATACAGCATGCGTGATAATCAAAATGCTTACCTTGATGGCCGTTGGGGCAGATGCAATGAGTCTAAAGAGAAATCGTTAAGTTACATCCACTCTACTAAGTGATTAAAAGACACTCCATTTTACCTCATTCTCTGGGGTAGGAGATGGCGTGACAGAACTAAGTGACCCCTTCCTACAACCCTGAAGGTCTGCTGGGATGGAGACAGGGCGTTCCCACTGAGTCGTTCCTGTTGGTATGTGCCAATAATAGGTTCCAGCAATGTCATTGATTCTTTTCCAGCCGGGTGGTAAATCTGGATCAGTCTGAAATGAGTGATCGCTCCATATATCTGCTAGGAAATATAAAGAAGAGAGGATTTTGTTAAAAGGGGAAACAAAGTCTAATCTTCTAGGTTCAGTACCAAGGAGGATTCCATAGCAGATTTGTCCAAACCCACATAAGAACTATAGTCATCCTATAGATACAAAACATGGCAAAAAGGGAACAAGGAATAAACTAGAAAGAAAGATTAACCTTGAGGACATGGACATAAAGGTCCCATCAACAAGTGATTTTACAGCTCCAAGAACTCTATGGATAAGCTAAAGTTCTATTAGTCAAAATCAACCACCCAAGCAAATCTGCAAGGTTACACACAAAATCTAATGACTCCCTTTGTGAATCACTAAGATTTACTGGTTGATATCCTACACCATTCCCAGCACTGAGTACAAACTCTAATTTTCCTTAGCCACTTTCTTTAAATGAGTATTGTATTTATATCTTTCATTTGCATTAACAATTCCTCCCATTTAATCTTAAACGTCTACAAAGCAGCAACATCTTGTAATACTCTAGAATTCTAAATTGCACACAGGTGATTCCAAGAATGGTGGACTGGAAATGCCTTAGAATTTAATAAGGGACCAGACTGAGTCGACAAGCAGACTGTAAATACATAAAGGAGGGTTGGTGTGACATACAACAGAGAAGGGTGGGGACTGTGGCAAACTGGCAAGCATGTGCAAAGTCCAAAGGCATTTATGTTCAACAATTAAAAATTTTAACACTGTGGGGAGGGACAAGTAAATATTTCTTGACAATTTCACCCCTGCATTATATCAATATTTTATTACTGAATAACTATTCACTTTTAAAAAAAATCTCATTCGTGACTTTGAATTGACTATGAAAGCAATTAAAGTACTAGAGAAGAGAGAAGAGAAGAGGAAGCAGGATAAGGAATTCACAGAGATGGAGGTATAATGGATCAATGTAGGTAAGTAGAAACACCTAAGAAACCTTAAACCTGGGGTTCACATTATGATAAGAATTAGGGCGCTTTTCTCCATGGCCATTTGCAAGGGGTCTGAGTACTTTACAACAATTCAAATGAGAAAGCATATGGGGCTTCCTCTGTACAAATGTCACTGCATCATGTGGACAGGCATCACCAAGGCTGTCACAGCCACAAGAAGAAAAAAAGGAAACCAAACGAAGAGGCTGATTAAGACAGTGGGCACAGATGTGCATTCAGGGGGCTGTTTAGCATCCCAGACTCCACTTTTCTCATTTTAAATCTGCCAGAGGCAAAACTGCCACTTGTCTCAAATTATGATGGAAATTCCCCTTCCCCCTACAGGAAATTAAGCATGATTAAATAATTTCAAGTTACCCAAATTTTGAAGAAACCACTCAAAACAAGTATGTGTATACACCCCTTTGATGTCCTTTTTAGGGGAGGGTTCTTCTGTGGTTATTTTGTTTTCAGCACCTCAACTGGGGCAAAGAGGTAAAATACACTGAGCTGGGGAATAAGTTGGAGAAAATCCAACCAAGGGCGTTGCCCTGTCCCCCTTTAGTGCCTCCCAGACTATAAACTCTAGGACTAGGAACTGAAAGGACAAAAGAGGCTTCTATTTAACAGCTCTGCTGTTTTTGAAGCAGAGAGCATGAATTTACCCATTAATTTTAGTTGTCTCTATAGATGGGGCGTTAGTACAGATGAAGACTAGCTACATACCACTCTTAGAATATGAAATCTTGTCAGGCCAAAGACAGAGACCAAGATCAGTAGCTTTCAGAGCTGGCTGTCTGAGGAGGTAGCTTGAGGCAGTAGGAGAGGGGTTTTGGGCTGCTTAACCAGATTTGGGTTGTTCAGTCATCAACCAGACCCATGCACTTACATTCTGTTTATATTCTGAGTTCCTACTGAGATTTTTGTTGGAATAGGGGTTATTTTGATGCTAAATATTGGTGGTGATGGTGATAATGGTGGAGGAGAAAGTAAGTCAAACACATCCACATTATTAAGAGTTTCAGATCATTTATAACCCATTCACATTATCCCACACTGGTTGTAAGGTGCATAACAGACATCCTTTCTGTCTTGTTCACCATCATTTTCCCAACACCTAGCATGACAAGCGTTCAAATCTAGTGAGTTGGATGAATGGATATATAGATGGATAGATGGACCGATGAACAGATGTAAGGAAGAAAGAAAGGAAGAATGAATAAAGGAAGAGGAGGAATGAATGAAGCTCTTGGTGTGAAGTGGAACTTGGCACTTAGCAAAAGAATAATTCTAAAAATAATCAGTTCCATGCAATTTCACAAAACAGAGCATCTCTGTAACTCATAGGAATACCAGCTTCTAGTTAGGCACGAAGTCTACTTCCCTTAAGAGTGCCTGTGAATGTTCTTCTGCATAAAGAGAAACATGATACGATAGATCCAAAGGAATTCTGGGCTGGAGGCCAAGAGACTTCGAGTTGAGAGTTTGTTTCTCTTTTTATTGATAGGTTTGACAAGGAAAAGTAAAAAATATGTTTTCTGGGTCACCTCAGCCCTGTTACACTTCATTTTGCTATTCTCCATGGACCCAATTTGCTTTTTTTCTCACATAAAACTATGGACACATCTAAATAAGCAGCTCAGACCTTATTCAATGGGTTACTGAATGGGTCAGTGGTTTTCAACTATTATTAAATTGTGAAGGAAGACAGGGTGCAGGGAAATTCCAGGTCCTTCCAGAGCATCTGACCACAACAATACCATTTTTATTTTACATGTAGGTTTACATATATGAATTTCCTTGAAAAGAGGGATCCACTTTGTTAGTTTGCTTTTCAGTTTTACTCAAAATAAAATTTGAAGCCAAAGCTAATGGATAGTGGGGTCAAGGTATCTAAATATCAAGAAGTTGCTTCTGTCATAAGATTATTCAAAGTATGCAAAGCAGCTGAAAAACGGGGGGTGCCCTCAAATGGCATGACGGAAGGTAAATGGACTAAATCAAGATAGGTCAATCTGCAAACACCAGGTGACGAGAGGAAAAAGTTCCATCTCCTTTTGACTCTCAGAAAATTACTTAGGCTGCTGAAGATAAAAGCAAGGAGTTGACATTGTGGAACGAAATGGTGGCTAGTGATTTCTTTGCTCTTCTGATCTCAGCAGTTTTCTGAACTGAGTGTCTGTCACGCACCCCTTCTTGACTGATCTGCTTAGAGCTTTGAAATCATAACATAGTATTCTATATTTTTAGATGGAATATCCTAAAAGACCTCCATACTGGAGAACTTGTTTCTTTTTGGGTGAATCACTCTGCAACAGTAACCTTCAAACCTTCAATTCAGCTTTAAAGAGCATAAAGCAAACCAACAGAGTCCATCTCAGAGTTACCCAATTTAGGATTGGAATGCAGATCAACTGTGGGGATTACTTAAGGAAGGATGTATAATAGAGTTAAAATAGAGAAAACTATAGAAAGCCTACAAAGTTGGTTTTTTTTTAATACTCTAGTGAAACTAGAAATGAGACGAGTCAGCAAAGACTCTAGATATGGCAGAAATCAGGCTGGTATGGAAATCCAGAATATGAACTCTGTAGGAGTCTTCATGTCTTGGTTCAGCCAGTCAATATTTGAATGACATGGGAGAAGTTATTCAACCTCTCTGGACTTCAGATACGTCTCTGTAAAATGGAAATTAAAATAGTACCTACCTGATTAGGTATGTATAAAACATTCAAAATAAAGGTTGACGCATAAAAGTGATATTCACCATATTAATATTCATTGCTGTTATTAGTATGATTATTATTATAGGTTTCCAAAGTCAATAACATAATAATACATTAAGCTTGGTAAAACTATCATAAAGAAATTTTTTTTAAAAGATTTATTTATTTATGCATACAAGAACTGGGGTACAAGCCAGAGGTGTGGGGTAAGAGGATTCACCAGAGACAGAGTGGGGAACAGAACAGGCACTGCTGAGGGGAGCCACGGGCAAGTCAGGAGAAGTCTGCTGCACCATGTGGGTAGCTCCCTGGCCAGGGACTGAACTTGTGCTGCAGTGGCTATGGATAACTTCATAGGTTGTATCTTAACCTCCTGCGCCACCAGGGAGGCCCAAGGAAACGTTTTTTATATGTCCAAAGGAAAATGCTTATTACAGAATATATGGGATCCAATGACAACATGGTTCAAAGAATAGTGATAAAAGAAGATAATTTCATAGAGACTATTTCCCTGGAGAAAAAACCCAGATTCCTTGAGCAGGCTAAACTGCGAAGAGCTCAGGAGTTCAGACCAGACCAGGTTCTTCCCATCATGCACCATGCCCCTGGCCATTGGGCCTTGGCTTCTCAGGGACCCTCTGTCTCAGTAATATGGAAGTAAAAAAATTAATAGGTCACAACTTTTGAAATAAAGATTTATGTTTCCTGTTGCTTATTCTTAAACAGACTTGTTAAACTTTTCCTAGGTTCTCTCTCAAAGACAAATGATCCCCCAATGAAGATAGTTGCCTTGTATTTGCATGAGTCTGGAGACTCCTGCCCCCTCACCCGTGGGTCTGGAGGAGCGTGGAGAGTCCACAGCTGCCCTAGGACAGACATGCTATGGTGATCCACATTTCTAAAGTGCAGAGAAGAAGGACAGCATTGCATTTATAACCAAGGGTAAACTATGTCTTTATGTAGAAATAGATTCCCCCTTTCAGAGCCCTAGGAATCATCAGTATGACCAGCTAGGGGGAAATTAGAAGGTGAATCAACAGTGGGAAAAACAAAAAAGAAAAAACCCACAACAGCTGCAAGTCTGAGGTGTGAAACCAGCCAACTGACCTGACCAGGGTCAAACAGCTTGTAACTGATGGTGCCCAGGTTCGCTCCAGGGGACTAGCCCTGAGCCTGAACCGCCTTGACTTCCACAGGTACACAGAGGTGAGGATGCTTAATGTAGACTTTACATGTGGTCCTCTTTCTGCACCTGATTCCCTAATTCCGCTGCCTGTAAATCCATGGCTGGCCACTCCTGCTGGCCCAAACATCTGGGCCCACAGATCT